CTTATAAACCACATACATACATACATACATACATACATACATACATACATACATACATACACACACACACACACACACACACACACCACAGCTAATTTAACAGATTACTCAAGATAAATGTGAGTCTGGTGTAGTCCCTGTTTTTGTTTGTGGGTGACTCCCTTCGTGTCATGGAAAGAATGGGGACATTGGGGATAATATCTCAGTTCTCTTGTCCCATCTGAAGTAAATCTACTGATACCATTGTACCAAAATGGTTTTCCTCTGCTCTCAAGGTTTGAAACATCAGATTGGTGTTTCCTTTTCAGATGAAAATATATTGTGCAGGTGGTCTGAAGAAAAGCCATGATTTGGTTATTGGAAAACTAATTAAACTATAAATGTAAGATTATTACTACCATAGTAAATGAAAATTACTGAATTTTGAAATTGGGAGAGTGGCAGTGTAACTTTTGGTAAGTTAATACTTGAGTACTTCTCCATTTTTCTTTGAGCTGAAAGAAATAGCAAGCTGTAGAAATGTGGAATATTTTAGGGTTTCAACATAGTTACTGTAGAATTTAATACCGTACTATGATATTGTCCTGTAAAAAGAAAATATAAGAGTATATTGCCTTATCTGCAGAAAAATGTGATAAATTTATTTAACACTTGATGTATATGAGGAAAATAAATCTTTGGGGTTTATATGTAAAATATTCACCCCATCCATTGGAATAACTAGCTGAATAAACTTTGTTAAAACTAAGTTTCTAAAGTAGTTTTAAAATATACAAATCAAGGCAAGATTTTTTTTAGCCTTGGCTCAAATTGGTAGTACTATGAAAACTAGGGAAATATACTGTTCTTATACAACAATTTGTTCAAATACAGAAGTTGAGTCATCTACCTATTGCTACACTGCCTAATGTCCCCATCAATGTGCCTGGCACTCATAAACCCAATTATCAGAAATATTGATTTTTCTCTCTGATCAACATTGCAATCTTCCTAAATTTCCTTACTTGGAAATATCAATAAAGCTTATCAAGTTTTTAGTAATAACTGTGGTCTGCAGCAGAAGCTTCTGAGATCCTTTTCTAATTATTGTTTCAGATTTTTTGGGTGTGTGTGTGTGTTGTTTCCATTCCAAATTTTGTAGACCTTATTTATTGATCATGATTTGAATTGCTATTACAGTCACACAGATGACTACGAGTGCAGTAAGGGTTAGGGTTAGGTTAGATATCATCGCACCAGCTTTCTCCACCTGATGGCAAACAGGTTGTAATCTGACTCATGCAATTACAGACCGGTGGATAAGTAGTGCCTAAGTCATCTTTCCTATTTTTACGGGCGAGAGAAGTTAACAGTTAAGGAGGCTGAGCTTCCTTAGGTCCATGCTTTAGGGAGATCTGGCCACGCCTCCAGTCGCCCTTCAACCCCCAGCCGCCTTCCAACCTAACCCCGCCTATCACTGCCACCTTGCCGCTTTGCTCGCCACGTGGGCTTGGGGGGGCCTTGCGGGGTCTTTTTGAAAAAAAAGGTGAGTCGGCTTAGAAGTGCCTGCGGTTAAAAGAGCCTGCTCTCAGGGTGGGATGGTGTCTGACAAATGGGTGTTAAAAGAAGAAAAACGGAGCAGAGTTTAGGAGTCGTTTCCAACCGCGACCAAGGAAATGAAATTTAGTTCGTGAAGAAAAAAAGAAAGACAGGCGGATGTTAGCCACCTCCGGGAAAGAAGAAGACTCGGGAAAGCGCCTCTAACCGGCACTGAGTGGGGGAATCCGAGGGAGCGCGAGGGTCCGCTGTGGGGGATGCCGGTGAGAGCTAAGCAGCGGGAGCGATGAGCTTGGAAACGGGGCATCTAATTTAGGGAGAAGTAATAGGGGGGAACCACTTACAAGTCGGAGTAATGAAGCGAGTAGGAGTAAGAGCTGGGAAGTTTCTGGTTCCGGATTCGGCTCTGCCACGCAGGGCACCAAATGCCTTTGGTGGCAATGGGGCTCTGAAGTTTTTCTCCCGATTTTTGCACAGTGGGGACGAATAATAGTGGCCTGTCCTTAAGAGATGTTGTACTAAAGATCATTGAAATAATATATGCAAAGTAGTCAGAATACGTATATAAGCAGCGCTTCTGTTATAAACATAGCGCTGAATTGTCGACTCGAATTTCGAGAGAGAGATAAAGCTTGCAAGTTTCACCCTGACTCTTGGACGTGCTGGTTGAAACGAATAACAGGGATTGTCTGTTATCCAAAGTCTGGAGAAAGTCTCTGGCAAAAACACTGATACTGGGTAGCTCCCCTAGAATCATGAGTAGAAGTAATATTTTCAGCGTTGGGGGTGGGTGGGGGTGGGGTTAAAGATAGAATTACTGTGAAGACCAAAAATGGCAAATTAGCAATGTTTTGATAGCATAATCTGTCCCTGAATGTCATAATTACCTAGTTGCCTGCAATCCTATCTTTCCTCATTTTACTAATAAAATATATGCTAGATTATCAAGCTTGGTGGGGAGAATTTAATTTTCCTTTGTGTGCCAGTTAAGCTACATGTATGATTCAACTCTGCCTTT